GTGTGATAGAGCCTGAACTCCTTCCTTCGTCAATGTCTTCTCCTTTTCCTTAACCCTTCTCTTCCCATCCATCCTCCATCATCCAGCCGCTTCTCTTTCTATCATCCATCTTCTCCCACCCTCCTCCTCCCCTCCTCCTCCCTCCTCCCTCCTCCTCCTCTCCTCCCTCCTTCACCTCCACCTCTGGATTATCCTATTAGGTTCATGGACGAGTCGCCTCGGTGGCTGGCCGTGAGGGGCAGCACCGGCGCGCCCTCCGAGTGCTGCAGAGGGCCGCCAGGTGGAACGGGGTCGCCCTCCCCCCGAGGACGAGCTTCTGCTCCTGCTCAAGGACGGAGTCAAGGACGAGGTGCGAGCGCGTGCTTGTGCGCATGTGTAAAAGGAACACACTTTATCATATATATATATATATATATATATATATATATATATATATATATATATATGTGTGTGTGTGTGTGTGTGTGTGTGTGTGTGTGTGTGTGTGTGTGTGTGTGTGTGTGTGTGTGTGTGTCAATAATTTTTTTATCAATTTTCTCGAAATATAAATCCTGTCACTCATCATGCTTCTGAATATACAATACAAGACAGAAGAATAATCCTGGTTCATAATCCTTTTATTTATTGTATTTCTTTTATCACTTGATCCCGTGACGTAGGCAATGGTACGCCCGCACCAAACGCCCGCGCCCACCCGCGAGAGGCTGGTTCAGAAGGCGTTTGGATGAAGCATTTATTCTTTTCAGGCAGGTCCACTTTTCCCTCTTCCTCCCTCCCCTTCCTCTCCTCCTATTCTCTTTTCTATTCCTCCTCCTCCTCCTCCTTATCCTTCTTCATTCCTTCCTCATCGTCCTCCTCCTCCTCCTCCTCTTCCTTCTGAAAAACTTCCTTATACATTGCTGAAATATATCATACGATTCTTTATATGAATGAAAAATCTTGTATATCTTGTCTGTATATTTTGATTTCGTGGAAATATTGCAATTTCTCTGACATATTTCGCTATGTCGGTTACTGAAAGCGTGCAGAGGATGTAGTCTCAAACCCACAGAATTATTTTTGATTATAAGAGCAATATGAATGGTATTAGTAATAGTGATAAAATTAACGAAGATGACAATGATAGTAAAGACAATATATCCTCCTACAAAGACGATACTCATTTTGCTTCTCCACCACTCCCCACACCCCCTCACACCCCTCGCCCCCTCACCCAACAGAACCCCCCGCCTTCGCACCATCACCCTCAGCCTGTACACCAACTACCTACTGGTGGGTGCTGTGTACTTCGGCCTCTCGCTCAGCGGCGGCGACCTGAGCTCCGACCCGTTCCTGTACATGGTGCTGACGGGGGTCGTGGAGCTGCCGGCCTACACGCTGGTCATCCCCCTGGTGGCTCGCTACGGCAGGAGGGCTCCCGTTGTCGCCTTCTTCTTCATGGGCGCCGTGGCTCTTCTCGCTCTGCCCTTCGTGCCCACGGTGAGTGAGGTTGTCTGGGGTGGAGGTTTTGTTTCATGAAATATGTATAGGTTTCATAATGAAAAATCTGAGAAAAATGAAAGCATGATTTCCTTCTTTCTCATCTTGTTCTTTTTTGTTCGTGTTGTTTCTTATGCCAAACAAAATTAGGAATTTACTGTCTACAAACATGTCTTCAGTCAATACCAAGAAGTTTCCCTGACAATCAAAACAGGAAAGTAAAACATTTAGCATAGATTACCCTTCAAAAAATATAATAGAAAACGTTATTTAAAAATTATAAGGGAAACTAAAATAATATTTAATTTTCCTCTCAGGTAGTGGGGAATCGATGACCTTAGCGCTTATGGGGAAGATGAGTATCGCTTCGGCCTTCCAGATCCTCGACTTTTACTCCTCAGAGCTCTTTCCCACCGAGGTTAGGACGAGGGGCATGAGCACAGCCCTTGTCATGTCAAGGGTGGGGTCTACTTGTTCGCCTTTCATCACGGACTACTTGGTAAGTTTTTTTTTCTTCTTTTTTCTTTTTTTTCTTTTCTTATTTTCTTTATTTTTACAGGATAAAATCATGGTGAATGTTATTATTATTTTTTTATGGGAAGGGAAATATTATGTAAGTAGTTTGAATGAGCTTGGATGTGTTTTAGATTTTTACCAATCACTCTGCATGACAGCAAGATATGACAGTCTTCTTGCTTTTTGTTTAAATCTCTATGATTTTTATAACGCTCTCTCTCCCTCCCTCTCTTTTCCTCCCTTCCTCATTCCTTCCCTGTTCCTTCCTACCTCCCTCTCTTTTCTTCCTCCCTCCCCTCCCTCCCCTCTCTTTTCCTTCCTCCCTCCCTCTCTTTTCCTTCCTCCCCCCTTCTTTCCTCCTTCCCTCCCTCCCTTCGTCTTTCCTTCCTTCTCCTCCCTCTTTTTCTTTCTTCTTCGCCAGGAGCCCCTTGTACCCGTGGGCGGCCGTCAGCACGTGTTTCGGGGCGGCGTCCGGTGCTCCGGGTGGCCACGCTCGCCTGCCGGAGACGGCTGCACGTGCCTGCTCCCGGAACAAGCCGCACCACACACCTGGAGGAAGACGGGAGATCAGGACCAGCGTAACTCCGTGTCTGCGCAGGCATTTACTTTGGAGTTGTTCGTCTGTTCTTTCTCTTTACATCCGTTGTTATA